CACGTATGCTCAGAGTATTTGGTAGTTGCGCTGTTCGTACTCTTTACGTGCATAGCTAGTTCGTTACGCTATAGACTATAGCCTATAGTCTCTATGGTATTAAGAAGTCTTTCTACCATCCTTCTCTTGTGGTGTTCGTCCCTGTGGCCGCCAGCTTCTACAACATCTGGTACTGGAACCGAGAATCGAACATCATGTCTACTGAAGGTGAAGATCATCTTCAGAAGATGATCACAGGAAGTTGTCCTCGTTGTGTCCGCGCTTCTCTGGAGAAGGTGATGTTTCCTCTGATGTTAACACTGGCGTTGAACTTTTCTTAAAGAAGTTCGATACCTCTCTGCAACTGAGAGGCCTTATTCGTCCAGGAGTCGATGCTACCCCTGCTGAGCGGGAGAGGTTTGGAGCCAAGGCAGCGGGTATTCTCAAGTCAGCCCTCAAGGGTAGGGCAGCAGTCGTGGCGTACCCACTCTCCCAAGAAAAAAGGACAACTTTGACCTCCTCGTGGCCGAGTTGAGATTGGCCTTCGGCTTGGATAGTCTCACGGCGTGGGCGGCGTTCTGCTCGAGAAGAATGGGAGAAACGGAACCTATTGATAATTATGTTGCTAACCTTCGGGTACTATTGGACATAAGTCACCCTCGTCTAGGACAAGGGGCTAAGAGCGAGATTCTACGCAGTCAGTTCGTCTGGGGTCTCCCTCAAGGAACTGCCAAAGCTTTAGTCCTAGCTAAGTATGAGGACGGTACTGTGCCGTTGGAATCCCTCGTTATTCTTGCCAAGGACCATCTTAAAGCTGCGCGCTTCGAGGGGTCGAAGAGCATCGAGATAGCCGCTGCAGCTATGCGTATGCGTGCAGACCAAGGCAAGGGCAAGAGAGGGTGGCATAGGTCTCCTGGCAAGGGCAAAGGTATGGCAAGGGAGGCGGACTATACGGGTAAGGGTCAAGGAGGCAAGGCGGAAGTACGTTGTTGGGGATGTAATGAAAAAGGTCATGTTCGGCGAGATTGTCCCCGGCG